CTCTCAGGGAGTCGCCCACCTTCCTCAACCCTCTGCTCCCCTCCTCTGAAGTCAGGGTCCTCACACCTACTCGGCCCCTGCCGAGGAAGTCGCTACACCTGCAGTCGCAAGGACCAGGGTGTCCAACCTCCGTCCCCAGTCAGGGCAACTGGGAACCCATCCTGGCTGCAGGAAGGGTGGTGGAGCTGAGCCAACCTTCAACCCGCTGCCACAGCCTTCACAGTGGCACTGGCCAAGGCCAAATGGACCCGATATACAGCCCAGTGTGCCCCCAGGGCTACATTTTAAGGCACCAGTTCCCAAGCTGTGGTACATGTACCACCAGTGGTATGCAAAAACTTGTCAGCGGCACGCATTAACAGATTTATTATAATTACTTTGCATGACAAAAATTTGCTGGTGGTATGTAAGGTTGCATCATTTTAAATTGGTGGCGCACAATCTGTCCGAGTTTCGGAACCACTGCTTTAAGGCATTGATGAATACCTCCTGGGGCCTCTCCAGCGCCCTGCCAGGAGAAGACAGCACCGCAAGCAGGTCAATGCGGTCTGAGCCCTGGGCTGGCTCATGACTCTGGGCAGCAGGTGCAGACCCGCCACCCCCCCTACACAGCCCAAGGGCAGGCGCAGGTTCTACACTCACTTCAAGCCAAACTTCACCTTCTTGTTCTCCACCATCAGGTCACAGATGTACCGAACCGACAGGTACCGCAGCAGCTTGATGTCGTGCCCTCTAACCTTGTCAAACAACTGGGAGTCTGCATTTCTGCAACAAGCGCAGGAGAGGCAATAGCCCAAGGTCAATGCAGACACCTGCTGGTCCCCAGGCTGGGCCGGGGAACCAGACTACACCCGTGGAGACCTCTCTCTACTGGCAGCCCTGGAACGGCTGCTTGTCAAGGCGCCCTGTGGCCCCACAACACAGCCCTGTCTGTGCATGTCTGTCAAGACACCACGTCACATCGGTGCTGTTCTTCCTACAGCAGTTCACCCAGTGCTCAGCAGGGTCACAGGGGCTGGTTTTGTGGCAAGGAGCCAAGCAGAAACTGAGGCGAGCTCTTGGAGCCTGTCTACAGCGTGTTCAGGAGAATGAACAACCAAGCAAGAGAAGGAAGTCTCGGTGCTCTAAGGGCTGGAGGCTTGGCACTGCCAGAGGCAGCAGGATTTCTTGGACAACTAAGCACCGGCTGCAGCCTGCAGTCCCTTCCCCCCTGCAAGGTAGCACCTGCACTCCTGGCATATGCCCAGGGCACCCGCCTCCACACACACACACTGAGCAGAGTGCAGGTACCAGCCCCAGCATGCTGCAAAGTGGGAAGCCCACAAGACTAATGAGTGCCAGAAAATCCTGGCAGTTTCCCAACACCGTGACCACCTGCCTAACTGGCTGCGTAGCACAGGCCACACAACATCCCTGAATAAACTGCAGCACTGAGGCCTCAGCTTGTAGCTGGGCTGACAACCAGTCCTGCTGCCATCTCCCACGGGTGATGCAGCACAACCAGCACACAACCAGCTTCTCCATGCACTGAACATCACTCCAGCATTGCCCTCCCTTCAGACACAGCAGCTGCCTTTGGGCAGGGAGGAAAGTGTCCCCTCACTGGCCCATCCCACCCCCTCAGATCGTGGGAGTCACACACGCAGCGTGCTCCTCTCCGTGAACGGAGATCCAGAATTATCCCTTCCGTCCACGTTATCTTTCTGGACTGCCTACCCACTCTGTACAGCTCAGGACCATCTAACAGCTGGTATCTGCTTGCCCCCAACAGTGGAACAGGAGACTTCAGTTACACTGGGCTCAGCCAGGTGTCAGCATCAGCGGGTTCTGGTTTTTGTAACCATACCAGGGATATCATGAAGGGCTTGTTTTTAAGAGCAAGAAGGAGCTCATGGCCTGCAGTGGCCCCAAGACATTGCTATGGCTCAGACTGGAGACAAAGGGTTGAACTGGCTGGTCAGATCTGAGTTCCTCTCTTCCTACCCAAATGCTGCACACACACACCTGAACGCAGGATCTTCCTCTGAAAGGTCATCGGTATCAGCCCAGGCATCGTCAGAGCCCCCTGCAAGGAGAGCACAATGTCAGGGGCAGAGCTTGTGTAATGCCCTCATGCCCCCCCCCCCATGCTGCAGCCCACACACACCAGGGTTGTCACCCTGCCTGCAACTTCCTTCCCGCCTGCCCCAAGTGGTGTCTGACCCACCCTTGGTCTCCCACCCCTGTCAGAGACTATTATAATCTTCAGACCTGGGCAGCAAATTTAGCTCTTGTTCCATGTCCCTCCTCAGATGACATCCTTGGAGTATCTGCAGAGGATGCCCCCACCCCACCACGCTGCTCTTTGATGAATGCTCAAATAGGTCAAAATCGCCCCAGGGACAAGGTGCCTTGAGGCCGACTTACAGCTGGCCTGTGATGTGCCCTCCACCCACCAAGGCCCAGACCCCGTGCCCACAGCAATGCACAGACAGACATCCTGCTGAGCTGACCACGCAGGGTCCCTTACTCACCTGAGAAGATGTAGTTGTATCCAGTACGGCCGTACAGCTCCCCCCACCCTGCCAGGGTTGCTGACCTGCAGATGTGCTGGAGAAAGCAATTATCGTTAACCTCTTGCAGGTCTCAGAAGGGCTGCCCTTGTACATGGGGAACCGTGCCCAGCCTCGTCCCCTCCAGGCATCTCAGCTGCCACCTCTCTGTACCCAGTCTCTACAGTCGGTTTACCTACCTGACCTCCAATGGGCAATTCCTACCCCTGTTCTGGCCTCCAGCTCCCCACACCCTCCTCACCTGTGTCAATTCTGCACTGCCTGCTAAAACAAGCAGCACCTGAGCTGTGTTCATGTTTAGGTTGACCCTCATCCTTCAAACTGCTGCCACAAAGGCTAAGGACTGTCCCTATATCCGTCTCAGCAGCTCCCGCCCGGACCCCTCCACAGCAGCCTCCCTGATGGAGGGCCAGGGTCTCAGCCTGCATGGGTGCCTGACCATGCCACATTAATTTGTGCCAGGTGAGACAAGCAACCACGGCACACATGGCTGCCAAGGAGAGCTAAGCTACACAGAACTACAGCCACTTGAATTCTCCACAGGAGTGCCCACACCAACACTTAATGCAGCTCAACTAATTCACTGTAAAGTCAATCGGGATTAACACGCCTGCATCCCTCCTTGTAAGACAAGCTCAGGGATCCGCTCAGCTGCCTAAGCAACCTCAGACTGCTTCCTGCATGGCTGCAGAAAAGCACTTCATTTAGTTGGGCAGCTTCTCTTCAGGGACAAAACAGGAGAACGAGAGCAAACTGCCAGATGGTTTGGGGCTACAGGAGGTGATCCCTTCCTGCAGCTCTTCCAGGGGGAACCCAGAGCTTGGCAGGGTGGTAGGCAGGCCTGTGGGGAATACCCAGGGCACCCTAGGGAGAAACAGTCTTGCGTGGTTCAAGTTGTCATAATCTTCCTTCCATTGGTCTCCAATGCAGTGGAGACGCCAGCTTGCAGGGGCCCATCACAAACCCCACCTGCCCCAGGCTGGCGAGTGGATGCAATCTACTGCAGTGCCCCTCTATTCCCAGGCAGCCCATCTGCCTCTTCAGTTGGTGTCTAGGAGCAGGATCTGGCCTGCAGAAACTAATGCTGCCAGGTGATGAGGGCAGCTCAGAAAGTGGGGAGAGGGATGCCCCTCACATCAGCCAGGCACGCTCAGGCCACCTTACCTTGCCTTTGTACAGGATGACTGGGCAAACGAAGCGGCCTCTGCACCTGGCCATCTTGCTGCGGTGGATGAGGTCCTGCAGCTTGCCCACCTGTACGGTGCTCTCAAATCTGCCAGACAGAGAGAAGGGGAGATCAGGGCACAAGGCCTTGCATCCACACAGCCCAGATCAATGGGATGCCTGTGCGCCTTGCCTCTACCCTAGCACCCACAGCCCAGCCCATCAGCCTCCAGACCAGGTGCGAAGCCTGACAGCAAGGGTGCAGGCCTCCTACAGTGCACAGGCCAACAAGTGAGAGCACCACACCAGGGTCTTTTCTAGTCTAAAGGAGTCCACTGCTCACTGCAGTAACACCAGGTTTGTAGCAGGAGCCCCATCAGCAGCTGGCAGAAAGGCCTCCATGAGCCTGGCAACAGCATCTTGGGTCACCAGTCTGTGGCTAACACGCTAGAAGACAAAGGATGGGCTGGGTGCCTGGTGGGAGCTCAAGACTAGGTTCTTCTTACGCCGAGCTCTATTTCAGCTGCCCAGTTCCATAGAGTCCTGGGCACGAGGGTTAAGACACGAGTGCACACGCTCCCATCGCTCCTTGCCTGGGTGCATCAAGGCTGCCCTGCAGTGAGGGGGAAGCTTGCCTGTGTGGGGTGGGCTGCGACACATACTCTGACTCTCCATCTCCCAGGTTGGGAAGCTTTGCTGTTGTGGAGGGGCTGGAGGCAGCAGTCACTCCATGTTAATGAGCTCTCCAGTACCGCATTTTCTGCATGCTGCTTCTTTTTAATGAAAGAGAAGCGTTTCTCAGTGCTCGCGTAGGCGGTTCTATTATATAGGTTTGCAAGGAGGCCAGTACTGTGGCTAGGTAAAGGCTGCTCCCTGCCCCACGCTTTGTTCGGATGGAACCACAGTATCACTGCACACAGAAACGTTTGAAGCATGTAGCTGCCACCAGGGCCAGCGAGAGAGGGGACAGAAATGGAGCTCAGGTCTCTGATGTCCCTGACAAGGAAGGAACAACTCCTGTACAGGGAGAGGCAGCTAGTGTTATGCTGGAGACGGCAGATACTGACATCCCCTTAGAGGAGATTAAGGTTGAGGATGTTAGCTCTGGAGGAAGGGAGGCTGCAAAACCAGCCCTGCAGGCTACCAGCACCAGTTTTGACAGTGCAGTCTCAGAGCAAGCTGAGTTCACATCAGAGGTGGGAGGGAGCTCTTCTCTGGATGGCTTGAAAGCTGAGACCCCAGTCCTGACGCAGAGGGGAAGAATGCAGAGAGGTTTCCTGGGAGCACGCAGACCAGAGCAAGGAGACCCCAGCAGAGGGAAGAAACTTAGGGAAAACCTCAAAGTGCTGGCGGTGCCGGGGAAGAAGGATGCAGAACTGCTGCAGAAGGAATAAGATTACTCTGCTCAATGCAAGGACAATGCATGGACTTAAATAAAACCAGCCACTGTCCATAGCCAGGTGATTCAAGATGATTTGGAAGTTCATCAGGATAAAGGACAGGAAGTACGGGAAAGCCCAGGTGCCAACTGGTCTAGTGAGGATGAAAGATGCCCAGGGCAGTGGTTTTAATATACAGGCATGAAAGGGGGGGGGGGGGTCCCCTGCTGCTGCTTCCTGCTGCCCTGCCACTAAGGCAGGAGTCTCAGAAGCCGCCAGCCGCAGAAACCGGCGCAGGCAGCGGGCGCCCTCTGCTGCTGCGTTCCCAAGACAGGCTGCTTCTGGAAGGCAGCAGACTTCATGATACCCCCTGCACCCAGCCACACCCCTCCCTCCCCGCAGCCCAGGCAGGTGCCCCCCCACACACAGGCAGCCTGCACCACAGCTCTGTACATCTTGGCTCAAGGTCCGGGCTGTTTTCAGGGCTCCCCATTTCTGACTCGCAGGCAGCAGAGGGGAGCGCAGGGGACACCTCACAGGCCCCAACAGTACGTGCTGGAGCAAAGTCCACAACTCTGGCCTCCAGATGGGGAGTGCTGGAGGAGTTTATGCCTCCCCCAGCCACACCCTTCCCTGTTCCCAGAGGAGGAGGGATGCCCAGACTACAGAAAGTAGTATTCGGTGCCACTTCCTCACAGCAACACAGGTGCTGAGCACAGCTGAGGTAAAGCAGTCTCAGTCACCATCAGTAGCCCGCGTGCACTTTGAGGATCGGACCAAAGTTGGGAGAACTCATCCACCGTACAGCTGCAGGGTGGTTAAGGTTCAAAAAAACCTTACAAGACCAAAGAACCAGCCACCTGCTCACAGGGACACCATCTTTCAAGGGACCCATCAAGGACAAGCACACAACTGTCAGCCCGAGGAAATGATTCTCTGCGAGGTGAAGTGACCCAATGCCATCAGGGGGAGGAGGGGACGGCACCTGCAGGAAGACGCCCCAGGAGGCAGGCTCCACTGGCTGCAGCAGATGACCTTGATCCCCCACCCCACTCCACCCCAGTGTGCCATTGGGCTCATTCTCAGCTCACTAGTTTCATCTGTCCTCAGCTCCGCCTGTACAGAGCAGAGCTTCCCCACCTGCTGGTTCACACTGGGGCAGAGGGGCAACCCCCAGCACAGGTAGTGATGGCAGCGAGTAGGGCACAGAGCACATCGCACCCCTGCTCCAGACTCACTCCCTCAGAGCAGCAGGTCTCCTTGCACCCTAGAACACCAGGGCCTGGGTGTTACTGAGCACCCCACCCACAGGACCCCTTGTCCTAAACATCCACCTCTTACCAAAGCCACCCCTCTCTCCTCAACCCTCCCACTGCTGTCCTGCAAGCCCAGGCCTGGGGAGGAGGCACACTAATGAATTCCTTTCTAGGGGACAGTCAGAGCCTGCTGGGTTGTCTGCTGTGCTCATTGTATCTTCCCAAGTGAAGAAGAGCTCAGGCAGAGGAAGACCACGGGAGCCCACCAGCACCCCATCCCTACCCTGAGCCAGCCTTGGCCTGGAACTGTGCCTGGGACCTGAGCCCAGCTGCACTGGGCTGCATGGAGCAGACAGGACATGGGGTCCTTCAGCCTTGGCCCAACCAATTCACCCAGAGATGCTCCGTACTGTGCTGCACGTGCACAGGCAGAGGAAGACAGCAGCGGCAAACTCCCTTCATTACACGCTTAGTGATGTACCAACTAACCCCACACCCCCTGCACCCAGGCCACCTTCCTCCAAGGGTAGGCTGGCTGCTCCCCCACAAGAGGCAGCCTGTACCTTAGTGCTATATTTCTTGGATCTAAGGTTTACATTCTGGGGTGCTTTCAGGGTTCCCTGTTTCTGACTCTCACAGGAAACTCAGGAGCACCCCACAGGCCTCCCTACAGCAGGTGCTGGGGCAGAGAGACCCACACAGCACAGCAAAGCCAACACTTCTGGCCTCCAGGTGGGGAGTGGTGGAGGGGCCCCAGACCAGTACAGAGGAACCTGCAGTAGGGTAAGCCACAACAGGGCTCCTCTCCACTGCTGCCATTTGATCAGCATGAGCAATGCCAAGGACTGCTGGGAGCTTCCCAGATGCAAGAAGCTGGAGGGTGAAGGACAAGAAACACCCTCCATCCTGGCTGCAGGCACCGGTGAGCTACTCATAACCAGACTACACCTGCTGTAGCTCATCTGCTCAAGAACCAACTCATCTCAGCCCGGCAGCTGCTTTTGCCAGTGCCTTTGTCATCCAGCAACGTTCTGCTGTTTTTGAGCAAGCTGCTTAGTGGTAGGAAAGTAGCACCTGAAGCCCTGGGAAGTCAGCTGTAATTCTTCACCATTTGAACCCAACCTGGATCATCACAACTCAGTCGGACTGCTTTGCAAAATAGTGTTCTTCACCACCTCAAGCCAACTAGCTTGCACGCACAGGACAGTGGTTGGATCACCGCACTGACTTGAGAAGCATGCAGCAAATGTTACATGACCAGTGCTGTCCTTTTGACAGCTGTAATTTTAGAACACAACAGCTGGCGGCAACAGATGCACCTACTCCACATCCTCCTGTCAGTGTGGTTTTTACACATCTCCTTCCTACTCGAGCAGGGGAGGCCGACTGTACAAGTGCACCCTTCTTATGCACCTTTAATTTGCCCCCTGGCAGTTGTCAGTACCTGTTTGTATGCTTGAGACGAAGGCAACAGAAGCTCCCACCCTCCTGCCGCTCAACACCCTTTAGAAGTGCAAGGTCTCCTATGGTTTGTTCTCTACTTGTCCTCCCCCCACCTCCACAAGGCAAGCAACTGTGGCCTCCTCACTTACTTCAGGGGAATTTTCCAGCTGGCTGATCACCAATAGCTTCCTTCCCCTCACCAACACTAATGGAAGTGGAGTGGCCATTCCTGCACAGCATGCCAGATGAAACCAGCTCCTGACTACAAGGGTTGCGACACTCTGTTCCTCCCCGATCTGTACGCACCAGAACCCAGGTGGGGGAGTTCTGGCTTGATTTCTGCTGGGGCAGCTGTGCACCGGTCAAGGACACATTGGCTCTGTACCACCCAGGTCAGAGCCTTTCCTGGGCTGGCAGAGTTAACTTAGAGCCCAGGAAGCTGCACGTGCAGTTCAGATGCTGTATCCTACTGCGCATGACTTGACATGCTTGAGGGAACACTCACCTGCTGAGGGCCTCAGATTTCTACATGACCTGGCAAAGCGGTGGCTGGAGCCAGCTGCAGAACTTTGAGGCGCCATCAACAAGCCTTTACAGGATGCAAGTTGGCCTTTTGTGCCCATCCTGTTCCCCCATCTGTGTTTCTGCCCCAGTCAGCACTTTGCCTCCTTCCACGACTGTTTACGTTCCCTAAAAGGAGCTGCTTTTAAAAGAGACCCAGCTAAAGGCCTTTTGAAAGCAGAAGTTATGCGAACTAGGACATTTAACTTAGACAACATAAGCCAGTGGCCCGACACTCTGGCAAGGCTGCTGTTTTACAAGCTTGTAAACTGTCAAGTGCCCAGATTCCGTGTGGGGTCTTAAACACACACCGTGGTTGCATACATGGAGATGATGGAGTACAACACAAGGAACACACCACCACCATGGTGGGGAATAAGGCAAGTACAGCAGTCTAGAAGGCTGCGCCTCTTGTTACAAGCACAGAGGTGCATTCTTTAGAAGACCTCAGAGAAAACACTACAGTAATA